GATTTTTTATATGGAGTTGAATAAGAATCTATACATATACAATATATGTATCGCATTACACATTGCTATTTATAAACATGAAAGTAATCAAAAAAGTTATCAACTTATCAAGTAATTTTTAATTTGACAAAAAATACGATTTTGAAAAAATGTAATGCTTTTCTTCATTCGAGAGTCGATAACAGTCTATTTTCGAAATTAAGTTTTAACATCAATTACAATATTTTCCGATATTTTTGATAAATGTATATTTTATCGATAATAGATTATATGCGAACTTTGTCACGAGATACCAAATAATAAAAGTAGATGTAGAGGGCAGCACTAAAATAATCATTTTTCAACAATTCCTTTAATCGGAATTTAAATGCTTCATTAAATCAAGATTAAATGGAAATAAATGCCTTCTTTCTCACACAATATTCTAAATCAAATATTATGTATAAAGAAAGAAAAATGAGAACGAAATTCCTTTGAAAATAAACAAAGAAGATGACGTAGTACGATTCTTTTTTCTTTACTCCACAATTTGCATGATCATACTGGTAATTTCATATAAAACAGCCTTTACAGCGCACCAATGTGGACTAATGCGGAGTATCTATATAATGTAAGCTGTTTATAGTCGGTGTGTGTGTGTGTGAGACGAATAAGACGAATTCTCTCACTGTCTTTCAGTAGAGTACGCGAACATGACAGTGCCGTCGCGTGATAGAAACTTCGCTGGTAGTATGTCCCGACTGCTTGGACTGTGTTGAATTATTTTCGGGAGTGTATTATTCTTGGCGAGTGCACCATTGAGATTCGCGTGAAGAAGTGCGGCGTGTCTCTTATGAGCGACGTAACGAACGCATACGACGCGAATCATGGCGAAGGATGAAGGGGATGATGTGCTGCCGGACAAGGACGCAGCGAAGGGTTTTTATGCTAAGTACGAGCCCAAAGAGATTTTAGGAAGGTGGGTCTCTCCACGTTTCACCCGGATAACACGTTTCTTAATACTATTATTATTGTTGACTCGCTCCTATATTAACAATTAATGCTGTACTCCTGTTCATATTTTACATATTTTTACATTGCTCCAGCGATCGTGGTACTTGGTAGAGTAAATACGATGGATCATCCTCCAAGTTGATGATAACATTACATAATTAAAATAAATTTCGACACAGTTTCGACAAGCTTTAGCACAGATCACAAATATTGACATTCGATACCAATGTTGATTTCAATAGATTGGGATTATAATTTTCGTGAATATGTATTTCAGAGGAATATCTTCCACTGTAAGACGATGCATAGAGAAAGAAACAGGAATGGAATATGCGGCTAAAATTATAGACATCAGTAATGAGACTAATGAGGATATGCATACTATGAAGGATGCTACGCTGCAAGAAGTGCAAATACTTCGTAGAGTAGCTGGACATCCATATATCAGTAAGTTTTCTAGTTTATTCTTTTTTAAAAATGGCAACAAATAGACTTATAGATTTATTTAAAAATAAATAACTATATATATATATATATA